ATTATTCTGGTCGTTGCTGGATTTGTCAATTTGGCACTTTCATTCTATGAACCTGAAATGCAAGCTCCTGTTGAAGAGACAACTACCGCAGCATCTCTTTTAGCTGGAACTTTCTTGAATAACATCACTGGTACGTCATCCATGCTCCAATCGAATCGAAAATCTATTTTCAAAAAAAGAATTATTTTGAATTGAGAAAAAACTCCTGTTTCCATATCATATCAGCTGAGATAGGCGCATATTGTTACACTCGGTATTTGGCGAGTGGGTGAGAGCAAGTTTACCTAGTTCAAGGGTAGATCGACGACGTATATGGGTGGCTGATATGGTCTTGTGAACAGGAAAAATTGACTGATAGCAGTGTTTGTTGATGATTATGGGTTAGAAGATGATTTATATACCATATTTAGTTGTCTGTGAGTCATTTTGGGAAATCATACGATATCGGTAGTCTATGAAAGTGTGAATAGAAATAATGTGAGAAAACTTCGCTTACGAAATTAAGTGCGTACCTTTTGCCTTGAGAGGAGTTGAATCAATCCACGAGTTCAATGAAGGATAAGGAGTCATTTATACATTCTAATTTATAATGTTTCCAATTATGTTATGGAAATTTGTTCCAAAATTTGGTATGAGAACTGGTACTTTCAATCTACTTGCTGCATGGTTGTATATATTTATTATAGAATTGTACCTAATGGGCTTTCTTTTAAAAAATTGCAACAAGAAAGACGAGAACTGGTCCCTTTAGGAGCAAAATGCCGGTCAAACCGCAGAAATCAGATGTAGTTTGCGAAATGGGTGCAAAACATTAATCTTTAGTTCAAAAAATCTCTTTTAATTTCTAAAAAGCTTTCTTTTCTTCTCTTTAAGCTGCATAGTTAGTTTAAATTTTGAAGATAAAGCCAGAATCGCCCTTTTTTAGGACATGATCTACTAAACTCGATTCTTCCCTTTAACACCACGACACCGGAACCACCTGGAGAAGGACATGGGACAGCTTGGATAGAAGGAGTCGCCATTCTACTCTGTGTCGTTGTTGTTGTACTTGTGACAGCAGTCAATGACTATTCGAAAGAACGACAATTTAGAAGTCTACAGGTATTGATTTATATTGATTTTTCGACGAATTCATCTCAGTTTTGAAAGTTTTAGGAAAAAATCGAAACCGGTCAAAAATTCTCTGTAATTCGCGATGGTGAGGCTATTGATGTACCTGTTTCGGATTTGGTTGTTGGAGATATTGCCCGAGTAAAATATGGTGATCTTCTACCAGCTGATGGATTTTTACTGCAGGGTAACGACCTAAAGGTAAGAAATGGATGCCTCAGGAGTAATACATAGATCGTAGAAGCCAATTAATATTTTTCCAGATTGATGAGTCATCCCTTACCGGA